GCCCGGGACCAGCCGCTCCGCTCGCCCCCAACTCCATGGCGCCACCGTCGAGTCCGTTACGGGATGCCCACTCGTTCCTCCGGCTCCCGCTCTAGCCGACCCGCCCACGGCCGCTCTTCATTGGCCATTGCCAGTATTCGCGCCGCCCAAGGAGGTTCTCCATTGGTTTGTTATGACCCCAGAGCATTTCTATTGGGTAACTTCTCCCTTCCCTCCCGCCCGTCCAGAGAAGTTATTGGGTATACCTCCGTGACCTTTTGTTCTTTTCTTTCTCCATTGGCTACTTTTTCACTATGCGCGCTCTCCGCTAAAGGAAGGACTATTTATTGGCTACTCTGTCTGTCTGTTACAATGACAGGCTGGCAAGAAGCGACGCGCACTTTCCACGCCGCGTGATCGTTATCTTATTTGTGCCGGCGCGAATGGGAAATTTGTGGCTCTTCCTCCTGTTCCCTCATCCCGTCTCCAGACGCCTTGAACTGAAACTCCCATCATCCCCAGCCAGCCTGCCTGCCTATGTGTGCTTTACGGGATGAGGGTTGACTGGGATTTGCGATGGGCCTGGTACTAACGACAGAGTGCGTCATGTTGTCGTATCCGCGACTCGTTCAGCGGAGAGACGAACTTTTCCGACTCGGAGCTCCAGGCCTCAGAATTACGCAATAGGCGCGTGGCATAGTGAAATAGAACGGGGGGGGAAGAGGAGCGCCTCCCTGCGGCCAACTCTCTCCTCTCTGGATTGGCTCAGCCATTGTGACGTCGGTGTGGAAGTATTCCTGAATGACGCTGTGCAGGGGGGGAGGGGTTGGATTCTCTCTCTCTCTCTCTCGTCTTACCTCAGTGGCTGCGAGGAGAAGGAGGCGGGGCAAAACTCCCGCAACGAGGAAAGGAGCGGTGCTGCTTCTGCGACGTCACCCGCATCTCCGCCCTCTCATTGGTCGCGACGCCTCCGGAGCCTCTGCCGTCCTGGGGACGTGGCCGGAGCGCTCCTGGTCTCCGCGGGCACAGAACCGCGGCGAGCTTCCCGGTGCCGGGAAGGAGAACCTCGCGAATGTCGTCGCCGGCCCGGGGAAGGTGTGCGCTGCCTCTCCGCCTGGCGACCAGGCGCGCTCCCTGAAATCAGCTGCTGCGATTTGAAGTGTCCGGGTAATTAACCCCCGGGTTAATTGGGGTCGGTCCGGGGAAGAGAAGAAGGGAAGGGACCCGGGTTAATTGGGGTCGGTCCGGGGAAGGGAAGGGAAGGGACGCTCCTTGGGGAATCTGATCTCTCCCTCCTCCTTTTTTCAGGGTCCCTCCGTCTCTTGCGGTTGGAGGAAAGAGAGATGCGACTGCCTCCCGGGGACCGACGAGGGAGCTGCCGGTGAGCGACTGGGAGGGAAGGAGCACATGGCCAGGTGAGAGGATCGGGGACGCGGGTCCTTCTCTCCATCCGCCACGTCGTTTGCTGTTCCTCCTCTCCCTGCGGTGGTTGGATGTGTTGGGACCAAGGAAGGAAAGAGAAACGTTCCGGTCCCTGCCTCCCCTTCTGCCATCCCCGCCACACACACCCCAAACGCCACCCTGCTGGCAGAATGCCTCGGTTCAGAGAAAGCTCTGCAGCACCAAGTTAACTCGACCCAACAACCCCTCCCCAGGAGGTCCAAAGATCAAGCTCGGAGCTAATGGGGCAGAGCAGGAGGGCAGCGCCAAGTGTCTCCCAGGGTGGTTCTGGGATGCTCCCTGCTGCAAAAGGTTCAAGGGCCTTCCTCAGGAATTCCTCCTCCTCCTCCTTGCTGAAAGTGTAGCAGGAAGAATTAAGAGGGTAGGAGGGGAGCTCTGCTGGATCAGTCCAAAGGCAGGCATTCTAATCCAGCATTCTGCCCACACGATGGGCAGCTGGGCCGGCTGCCTATGAGAAGCCCACAAGCAGGACATGGTCGCAAGAGCACCTTCCAGCTCCCATTTCCTCATCACTAATACTGAGAAGCAAAAATGCCTCTTGAGACTGGAGGTGATACATAGCCATCCTTCTTAACAGCCACTGATGGCTCTAACCTCTTGGAATTTATCCAGTCCTCTCTTTAAAGCAATCCAAGTTGGCAGCCATCGCTACACCTTGTGGCAGTGAATTCCACAGTTCAACTATGTACCCTTTGATGATTATTTGACCTGAATTTCTCTTAATTCTACTTTTTCATGCCATGCATAATTTTATACACCTCTATCATTCTTTCCTTTAACCATTTTTGTAAGCAGAACAGCCCAGAATCTTTCCTCAAAGGAACTTGCTTTAATACTGTGCCCCTCCCTTTTTTTACATGTCCTGATGGCAGAAATGTCATCCTCTAGCCAAGAGCTGATCTCTAGGACAAGAAATAGTTAAAAATGCACTCTGTATATCTATTGTGTCCTCACAGAACTGTGTGGGTGGCCACAGTTCTAATCTTATGTATTCTTTACTTGAGGGTAAACCTCACTTGAACACAGAAGGATATGCTTCTAAACATGTAAGAGTGGATATTTAAACACTAAATCTGTTGGTTGTTGTGGGTTTTTCAGGCTCTTTGGCCGTGTTCAGAACACGGCCAAAGAGCCCGAAAAACCCACAACAACCATTAGATCCTGGCTGTGAAAGCCTTCATGAATACACTAAATCTGCTCTTTCCCCCTTCTCCCAGGATCAGTTTTTCCTGCCTGTGTCCAGCATCTTGGCACTTTACAGTACCTTCAGTAAGCCTTTGTCTCCGTCAGCGGCTGGCCCTGCTAGGCCTCCTCCTTGGCGCCTGCCTGCTCCTCTTACTTCTGGCAATTACCAATCTGTGGCGCTGGAGGGCTGACTCTCAGGACAGACAGTTTGAAAGGTGAGTAAGCAGGACATGGAGATGCCATGTGATATGCTAAGACAGATCAGAGGGCTGGCTGGAGACACTAGGCAAAGGCTAGTTTCAAAGGCCTGCAAGTGAACATCATTCAGATCCTGGCCAGAATTGATCTGCCACTTTTTTGGTAGGCTTTGGTGGTGAGGCAGAGAGAGATATGAAGAAAGAGGGGGCAAAGAAGCAGGGGGAATGGCTCTGTACTCCCCTGACTAGCCTTGCCTCCTCTTATTGTATTAATCCCAATCAGTGTGTTTGAACCACAGCTCCCAGTCAACTCTAGCCAAAATGGCCACTGCTCAGCAGTTCATTCTCAAGAGAATGGAGCCCTGGCATACAAGGCACTTTCCTGGTTCTTAGAAAGGATAAAAGTCATAAAGGGGAGGGATTTCTCTGGTGTGACCAGCTCAGAGTGAAATCTGTATTCAAATCAATATACTGTGCAGTATACACTTTTCTGTATATTTATTTGTCTGCTCAAGAACAGAATACACTATTCTAGACCTCTGCACTCAACATGACTAGTTCAAGAGCAAAGCAAAGTAGCATTCTTTCCATTTGGCTCTTGGCTGGGAGGGTGTGTCTGTCCCTCTCCCCATTCCAGCCCTGATAGCAGTTGTGGGAAGCAGCCACCTGGACTGATTTCAGCTGCCACTTTCCCACCAGCGAAGGCTGCAACCCTTTTAGGGTGGTGGAGAAAAGGGAAGAGAGTGCCAAGACTTGATGGAAGATCAGCATTGCCCTGTTGGAAGAAAGGTGGCAATGCTGCTGTTCTCCTGCCTCCCCCCACTTTCATTAATTGATTCAGGACAAGGCAACAATTGTCTTCAGCATCTTTTCTGTATAGAGGACTGGTGGTGGGGAGGGGGTGTTCATAGTGGTTGGGCAGGTGAGGCAGCACCCACATAATCCACCATGTTCTTGACAACCAATAACAGGGAGTGTAAAATTGTAGTTAGGGAAATGCAAGAGGTTAACCACCAAACGAGATATAGCTGGCTCCACCTTTGGTGAACCCACCGTTTTCTCCACCAGTCCCACAGGGTATGATAGACTGGCTAGTTTGTTCCCATAAGGTGAAGATTCTATTCTTCAATCTGAATAAACAGTGATATGTTATATAAGCCCTTCCATGCATTGATGTGCCTGCCCTCTTTATCCAGGGTGTTACCCGTTTTGCTTCCTACTATTTGGATCAGCACCTTGAACATTAAACAGCTGCCATCAAGCTTTATATACCGTGCCTACTTTCTTCCCCATAGAATCAATATAGAGGTGTGTTTTTTTAATAGATGTATACTTAGACAGAGTTTCTTATATGCACCTCAGTTTTCTTATGGAGAGGAATCTCCCAAGTTTCTCTATGCACCCTCTTTTAAAATCACTAGCATTTCTGGATGGCCAGATGTGTAGGTGGTTTTAAATCTGAACCATTATGCACGTCTAGAGTAAGTTCATCTTTATTGATAATACCAGAGATGGAACATTTTAAAGACATCAAGCAACCGCTAAAGCAAAAGTAAAAAGAACCTTTAAACATTTCAAACTAATTTGTAATTGGTGTTACCATGCAGGATGAATAGTTAAGATTTAGCAGGTACTAAGTTAGGTACTAACTACTAAAATAGGTACTATTTTCTCTCAATAATTTGAAGGGCAGCAGTTTGGGACCTAAAGAAAATGAAAGCTGATAATGTTTCATAGGTTACACAACTCCACCCCACCCCACCATGGCTTCTTGGGAAGATGAATGACGTTTAAAGATCATAGAATCATAGAGCAATGGAAGGGGCTTATATTGGTTGGCCATCAAGTCCAACCCAAGCTAGGAAATAAATTTATCATGTTTTTGGAAGAGGTGCTTCTTTTGGAAGAGATATTTATTTGCCACAGCATGATCTTGTGACTATTTCTGTACAGTATTTTATGACTGGTCATTGGAAGATTAATTTGCAGGTATGATTACTGAGACACTTATAGCTGAAGAAATTCCATTATGAGAGGGAAAACAAAATAATCATAGAACATCTGTTTTGACCCTTAGATATGGGGCATGGTTAGCAATGGTTTTCTGGGATCACAAGACTTCTTGACAGGGATCTATCAGATACAGAGGTTGGGGACTTTTGGCCCCAAACATGGGGACTACAGTGCCCATCACCCCCACACGCACACTGCTGCCTAGGGCAGATGGGAATAGTATGTCAAAATATCTGAAGGGTTAAATGTTTCAGACCCTTGTATTATTCAGAATGAATTTCTGTACTCGACTGCTAATCTATTTTGCTTGCTAATCCATTTCTGTGCTACTTGTTTGTTAATCTATTCAACTTGCTTGCTAATCCATTTCTGCACTACGTGCCTGCTAATCCATTAAGGACTTGATTTCAGAACTTGGGAAAAAAAATCTGTCTGTCTTTTAATTGTAGTTACTGGGGATTTCTGACATTTTACTCCAAAAAAATTACATTTCCAGGTTTTGCCTAGGCTTTGCTAGCTGTGCCTCTTGAGACCTATACCTCATTCTGCTTCTGCAGGCTAAGAGAATCCTGTGTCTGCCTCCTCCCACCCAGATCTACCCGAATCACCCGACATAGCCAGCGGGGACGGCTGAGGGGCCTGACGCCGAGAGAGGCCCGGAAGGAGAAAACTAGAAACCGGGCCTTCTCGGCGGTCGCCCCTCGGCTGTGGAACACACTCCCCATTGAAATCCGGCTGGCACCCTCACTGGGGGTTTTCAAAAGCCAGTTAAAAACTTGGTTGTTTAAACAGGCCTACCCCCCAGTTAATTGTTTTTCTTTTTCTCTTTTTTCTTTCTTTTTTTCTTTTGTATACCACCATCTTGGAAACCTTTTGTTTAGATCTAATTAGTATAAATGCATTTTATATGTTTTTTAACTTGTTTTAACTGATGTAAGCCGCCCCGAGTAGACGTTGTCTAGAGGGGTGGGGTAAAAATCAAATAAATAAATAAATAAATTTTCAATGTCTAAAACAAGAGGAAAGTTTTGTTGGCATGATCAACCAACTGGGCCCCTTCTGTGGGGCTGTGGTTAGGTTTCATTTTGTTTGCCATCTTTTGTCCCTCCAGACTCACTTTCCTTCCATTCCTCCTGCAGATATTTAGCGCGGTATCGAGCCTTGGAAGCTACAGACACGGAGAACCTAGCTCTGAGTTACGGGGTTGTGGTTGACTGTGGGAGCAGTGGGTCTCGAGTCTTTGTGTATTTTTGGCCCCCACACAATGGGAATCCCCATGATCTGCTGGACATCCGACAGATGCGAGACCACAGCAGCCAACCAGTCGTCAAGAAAATCAAGCCAGGTTGGAATTGTCCGGTTGCTTTTAGTTACAGTGGGCAGGGTCTCGCAGAAGCCAACTTAGCAGAGAGTGTCCCCGTAATCACTCCCCTGAGGCTAAAAGAGGGGTTGTGCCCTTCAGAGATTGCTGTAACTACAGATCCCACCAGACTAGCCAGCAAAGCTAACTGTGAAGGATGATGGGGAATTCAAGTCCAACAATATCTGGAGAGCCACATGTTCCTCATCTGAAGGCTAATGGGTTTGTAGCTTACAGTGCTGCTGCTGCTCATGTAATTCTCTTCCCTTGCACAGGGATCTCCACATTGGCAAGAACACCAGAGAAAGCGAGTGACTATATGAGGCCCTTGCTCAGCTTTGCTGCTGCGTATGTGCCCAAGGTCAAGCACAAGGAGACCCCCCTCTACATCTTGTGTACTGCAGGGATGAGGCTGCTGCCTGACTGGTGAGTCAGTGATGCCTTCCATGGTCCTGTTTATTTATTTATTGGATTTATACCTCACACCATCTGGCAACCAGGCCCCTCGGGGTGGCTGACAACAAGATAAACAGTACAATATCAAAACAGGATTTTAAAAAATACATACATACATTCAACAAATATAATAACCAGCAGGATAAAGGAGGACCTAAGGACCAAACCTAAGGAAGCTTGGGTTCAGTACTAGGGCTATGCATAGGTTTGCATCTGAGAGTGTTGAAGGGGGAAGGTTGGAGTCCTCAAGAAAAGCAGTGGCTCGGAAAAGCCCTGCTGTAGGGGTCCTCTGATTCCTGTGGGCCCAGAGTATCTCCTTTCTTTTCATTGGCTTAAGTCTTACACCCAGTGTGGTGCAGTGGATAGAGTGATGGAGTAGGAGATCTGGGTTTGAATCCCCGCTCAGCCATGGAAACTCACTGGGAGATTGAAGCTGGTAAAACCACTCCTTAAATATCTCACTTACATGGAAATTTCTGTTAGGGTTGCTATGTGTTTCTGATTTCATATGTGAAATATGAAGCAGGGATTTAGGCACTCTGTTCCATGGTGCAACTCTTATCTATTTACCAGGACTGCATCTCTTAATAAAAGACTGGCAACTAGTCTGCAGGTTCCTGGCTGAAAAGAGAGCAAGGGAGAAGGATTGTTGGATTTGCACACCTTTGACTGATTTCCAGGCTTGGGGCAAATAAGCTACAGGGCAAGTGGAAAAGATACTTGAATGCAGCATAGGAGGACGCGCTCACTCTTTGTTCTGTGGGTCTTTCCAGGCAGCAGGCGGCCCTCCTTGAGGACCTGGTGAGGGATGTGCCCTTGGAGTTTGACTTCCTTTTCTCAGAATCACATGCAGAGGTGATTTCAGGGAAACAAGAAGGTAGGAAACCGGGCAGAAACATTTGCATACTTACTTCCTTCTTGGGGGAGATTTGCTGAAATATAAATGGAGAGGGTTGCAACATGTGCTGAGAGGCAAGTGCATTACCTAAGCCCGGCTTCGGGACTTGATTTCTGGGAAACTGGGTAAAATATGCTGTGGTTTGTGAGCTGCGCAATCGAGTGAGAGGAGCTGTGGTTGGTATGGGAGCTGGCAATGCCTTTCGCTGCGCTTGCTTCCCGCAGCCTTCCCAAGACATGCCTCTTGGATCAAACTCACCTTTCATACACAAGGTGCCTAACATTCTCTTTTCCCACAGGTGTCTATGCTTGGATAGGCATCAACTTTGTCCTGGGGAGATTTGACCATGAAGAAGGTGAGGCTAATGGAAAGGGTTGAGGGTATAGGACTTATTGTTGGGGAGGGGAATCTTCAGCCCACAAGGGTAATCTATTTTATGTAGGCTCCTTCAGTGGCCTCTAGCGATTCTCCATCAGGTTGGCTAGCTGGGAAAAGATTTGCCACTAGGTGTGATCAATCATGGGGAGGAGGTATCAACAAGGAGTTCCTGCTCTAAGCCACTTCTTGCAGGTGCCAGCTACGTGCTTTGCCCTGAAAGAGGAGTGTATCAAGGTTGTCAGCCAAAATGTTGGGTGGAGCAGCTCCACGTTGCATTTTATTCAGGGAGCAGATGGTATCAGGATGGGCCACACCCTCTGATGTAATCCACTTGCAGTTCCATGATTCTAGACTTATGGGTGGATGAGTTTTTTTTTCTCTTTGGCCCATTTCCTTCTCATGGGTGGCGGGAATCCTGCACAGCTTGTCTAATTGCTGGCAGAAAGAGTGGAGTTTGCCTGCCCTACATAACTGTCCTGGGGTCTCTTCCAGTTCTTGAATTTCACAAGAACAGAGGTGGGTGGATTAGATTTAGATCTATTCCACTCACCATTTGTCCCTCTGACACACATGTACGGATTCCCAAGGTCTGGCCTAAGCACTGAAGAAACGTACTATCTTCTGCTTCCTTTTCCAAGACCTTGATGACACACTCTCTTTTATGGGGTTTCAGAAGAAGATGCTGTGGTGTCTGTGACCCTGGCTGGCCAGGAAGAGCCCTTAGTGCGAAAGAGGACTGTGGGAATCCTTGACATGGGAGGTGCCTCTCTGCAGATAGCCTACGAGGTGCCCAGTTCCACCTCCTTTTCTTCACCACAGGAGGTGCGTACATTGAGTAGGGCTGCTTTGTACCATGATACAGGCTGGACATGGTTCCGTAGCCCCTTTCTCTTTCTTTCAGGAAGAAGCTGCCAAGAGCCTCCTTGCTGACTTCAACCTCGGCTGTGATGTGCAACACACAAAGCATGGCTACCGTGTCTATGTCAACACTTTCCTGGGCTTTGGGGGCAACTTTGCCCGGCAGCGCTATGAAGCATTGATGCTGAATCGGACTGTCGCCCACAACAGGTCTCCTGCCTCTGTGCTGCCAGGTTGCAAAAAGTCTCCCTGAAGGCAGTTATGGCTCATACCTGAAAGGCTGATTTCACTGCTTTTCGGTACTCGGGGGGCTGATAGGAGCCGGTCTTACTTCCTTTGTAGGGCAGAGGCCAAGGTGAGAGCAGGATGAGTGTAATGGCAGTACAGGTTTTGCAACAGAATAGCTGCCTGTGGCGAAGTGGGCACAGCCATGATCTCTATAGAACAGAGTTGCTTTGGGTGTGTGAGGAAATGGCTATGCAAGGTGAAGCTTGGTCTTTACCATTTTGGACTACAGCTCCCAGAACCCCTTTGCCAGTTTGGTCGGTAGGGGAATCATGGAGCTGTCGTCCAAAATGGCAGCTTCTCAAAGCTTTGCACCTTCAGTTGTGAAGTTCAAGTGTTATCCTCTTCTCCTAGTCCTGCATGCAGGGGACGAAGAAGCAACTTTTCCCTGTCTTTCTGAGAGGTGCCCTGTGCTGAAGGGCTGCTCATGAGCAGTGCGGTGGGGAGGCTGCATTTTGTATCCTCCTTTGTATTCAAGAACATACCAAACCTAGAGATAGTAGCTCTAGTGCTAGCCTGAGGTGATGTCTCTGGATGACTGGTGTGCTTTTCTTTTCCTTTCCTTTCCCTCGGCCCCACCCCCCACTTTGGCACATGTTCATGTTGCCAGTGCTACAAGCATATCCCACTTGGAGCACTGAGGCTTGTATGTGTTTTTCATTATGGGAAAAGTGAGTGCCGTATGTGTTTGCTTTCAGAGACCAGCTACAAAAAGCTGGTCTGGTCACCTGAACAAAGAGCGCAATGGAAGAAGCTGTGAGGCCTGTTTCTGTATACATTGTGCTTGTTAAGAGAGGCAGCAAACAGCGGGGGCTGTACAACTAGCAATGAGTTTGAAACAACTTCAGAAAGTTCCTTTTCCGGCTTACAACTCCCAGAATCCCAGCATGAGAGTTTTAGGCCCCTTTTCTGTACCTTTTCCAAGCCCTGCCCTGGTCTTTCCCAGATCCTGAAGCTTGGGCTCTCATTACAGATTGCGAGGTGAACAGATGGGGTTGAATCCTGAGTTGCCCATCTTAGACCCTTGCCTGCCTGTGGGACTGGAGGATGTTGTGAATCAGAGTGGCCAGACCCTGCACATTAGGGGCCAAGGAGATTGGCAGGCCTGTGCTGAGCAACTGCTGCCCTTATTGGCTGGAGAAAACAGGAGCCAGGTTTCTTTGAGTAACACCTATCAGGCACCGATTCACTTCACAAACAGCGAATTCTACGGCTTCTCTGAATTCTACTACTGCACCGATGATGTGCTGCGCTTGGGAGGACCATATCACAGCCCCACATTCACGCGTGCAGCCCAGGTGAATAGGACTGAGGGTGTGGGGCGTGTGTGATCCCTTTTGCATAGGGCGGTTCCCTGGAGTGTGTGGGTCCTGTGCGAATCTCCCTTTTTCCTAATATTCCCCTTGGTTTCCTTCCAGGATTATTGCAGCCTGAGTTGGTCAGTACTGACGCAGAGGTTTCGAGACAAGTTATACTCGCCGCATGCAGACCTGCACCGTGTCAAGTAAGAATCCAGTCTTCTTGAACGGGTGGCCCTTCAGATGTGGCCAAGGCATTCTTGAGAGATGGCTGAGTTAGTTGTGATTCTGCCAACAGCCAGAGGGGCCACCGGTTTGCTACCTTTCCAGTACCCGAGTTCAGGATTGAAAACACGTGTCATTTTTTAAACCTTCCTCCAGAGTGTAGGACAAGATTTTTAGCAAAGTTGTGATGGAATCCCACGCCACCCTGTGCTCTCCTTACAGGTACCAGTGCTTCAAGTCTGCTTGGATGCACCAAGTCCTGCACGAAGGGTTCCATTTCCCCAGGGATTACTCTGGCCTACGCACAGCCCAACTGGTGTATGACCGCGAAGTGCAGTGGACGCTGGGAGCTATTCTCTTTAAAACCCGCTTCCTGCCTCTCAGGTAAGGTGCACTGTTCTGTTTGGATCCTCCCTCATCGAGGCCATCGGCAGAGTCCTTTGGGTTACTATGCAAGGACTAGGCTTT